GTTCCGGCGGGTAGGGCGGCCGCGACGAGAGCGCATGGACGGTGGCGACGGTGGCCCAGAGCCAGCGAATGGGACAACAGGTACAAGCTCATCCCCAACGCGTCGTTCGGCGTCAACACTCCAGTCTCAGCTGCACCGCGGCAAGAAAAGCCTCAAACGACAAGAACCACGTTGAACCACGCAATGTGCGGGTTCGAGGCAGCCCATCCCTAGTTCGCNTGCGTCGTTTGCCGCACCAATGGACTCGTGGTTGCCGGCACCGATGGAGTCGTCGCCGGCGACGCGGAGGCGCGTGTGGAAGGCCTCGGAAGAAAAAACGACCATGAACATCATGGAGTCGCCTGCTACGATGATGCGGCGCCTGCGGCACGCGGAGGACGCCTACGACGGCCGGTGGGCCGAGGACGCGGAGGAGGCGGCGAACGCGGCCTTCGCGGCCATGGGCGCGGAGGTGGAGCGGCGCGACGCGGAGCGCGAGCGCGAGCGGTCGCTGGCCGAGGTCCGAAGGCGCGAGCGGCGCGCCGAGCACAAGTGGATCAAGGAGCGCGACGCGGAGCTCGCGGCGATGCGCGAGTCGGACGAGGCGCGCGCCGCGTGGGCCGCGGCGGCGCGCATAGCGGAAGGTGCGGCGCGCGGCGCGGCGGCCGCGGCGCGCGGCGCGGAGCGGTCCGCGGCGGCCGCGGCGCGCGAGGTCCGCGCGGCGTCGTCGCTCGACTGCCGTTTCCGCGGCCTCGACGCGCTGCCCCGCCTCAGCTTCGAGACGCTCGTGACGCTGCGCGCCGACGGCAACGCCATCGTCCGCCTGCCTCCAAACTTCCTCAACCTCGCGCCGTGCCTCGCGACGCTGTCGCTGAAAAGCAACCTGCTCGAAGCGCTCCCGGCGCTGCCGCCGCGGCTCGAGACCCTCGACGTCGCCGACAACGACCTCGCGCGCCTGTTCCCCGAATGCGAGGCGCTGCGGACGCTCGTCGCCGCGGGGAACGCGTTGACGGCCGCGGACGTCGCGGGGGCCCCGTTCCTGACGCGCCTGGACCTCGGCAGCAACCAGCTCGCCGCCGTCGCCGGCCTCGGCGTCCTCGCGGACCTCGAGGTCTTGGATTTGGAGAACCGCGCGTGGCTGCGGTCGGACCCGGACGCGCGCCCCGCGGCGAATTCCGTCGCGTCGCTCGACGTCGTCGCGCCGCTGCTCCACGAGCCCTGGCCGCGGCTGCGGGAGCTGCGGGTCTCCGGCGGCGGCGCGGCGCTCCCGACGCGCATCCCGGCGTCGCTGCGCGTGCTGGAGGCGCGCGGCTGCGGCCTCGCGGCGCTGCCCGCCGGCGACTACGCGGCGCTCGAGCGCGTCGACCTCGAGGGCAACGCGCTCGAGGCGCTGCCGGAGACCTGGGCGGATCTCGCGCGCCTGACGCGGCTCCGGGTGGGCCGCAATCGCCTCGCGACGCTCCCGGAACGTCTCAACGCGGTCCGCGACCTCGGCGTCGACCGCAATCGCCTGACGTTTCTCCCGGCGGCGCCGCGCCTCGAGGCCCTCGACGCGCGGGGCAACCGCATCGGAGACGCGCCAAGCGTGCTTCTCTCCCTGGACCTCTCGGACAACCGCGTCGCGGCGCTGGCGCCGCTGCCGCCGACGGTCGCGGCCGTCCGCCTCCGGAACAACCGGCTCCTCGCGCTCCCGCCGCTGCCGGCGAGCCTCGAGCTCCTCGTCGTCGACGGCAATCGTCTCGGCGCGATCCCCGCCGCGCCGAAGCTCCGGCTGCTCGAGGCGACGCGGAACCGGCTGGCGGCGCTGCCGGAGCTGCCCGCGCTGCGCGTCCTCGCCGTCGCGGGGAATCGGCTGGCGGCGCTGCACCTCCGCGCCTCGGCCCAGCTCTCCGTCGTCCTCGCGGCGGAGAACGTCGTCGCGTCCGTCGACCTCCCGGCGACGGTCCGCGTGCTCGCGCTGTTCCGGAATCCCGCGGAGGCGGGCGCGTCGACGGCGGCGCATCGCGGCGGCCTCGAGGACGCGGCGGCGGACATCGTCGACGTCTGCTGGGCCGGCGGCTTCGCGCTCGACGCCGCGAAATGCGTGGCGACGTCCGTCGTCGTCGGCTCCGACCGGTGCTGGCCGCGCGACTACCCGAAGCGCGACGTCGCCGCCGCGTACGAGCGCGCCGCGGTCCTGAGACCCGGCGGCGCGGCCGTCGCGGCGGCGAACCTCGACCGCGCGGCCCTGGTCCACGAGCGGGCGCGGCGCACGGACTGGCTGCCGCTGGGGCTGGACCTGCGGGGGGCCGGCGGCGACGACGACCTCGCGCGGGCCGTCCTCGAGCACGAGATCGCGCGCGCCGTGACGCGGCCGGCGACGCGCGCCCATCGGTGCCTCGTGACCTGGGCGCGGGACTCGTCGAGCAGCGCGCGGCACCGCGGCGTCGCGTCCCGGACGGAGCTCTACGACCAGGCCGTCGCATCGGGCGCGGACGTCGTCCTCGGCCGCCGCGGGGACGTCTGGGAGGCCATGGCGTCGTACGCCTTTGTGTTGTCGCCCGCGGCGTCGCTCCGTGGGTGCCTACGTAGGCGCCTACGAGGCTACGTAGCCTCTGCTCGAGCCTCTGGCGCCTGCGTAGGCACCGCTTTTGACGGGCTACGTAGGCGCCCACGCGCCTACGTAGCCTCGTCCGGAGCCTACGAACCTATGACCTACGCGCCCTCGCGCAGGTCCCCCGTCGGCGCGGGGTTCGATTGCTTTCGGACCTGGGAAGCCCTCTACTTTGGCGCGATCGTCGTCGCCCAGCGGTCCCCGCTCGAGCGCGAGTTCCAGAAAGCGAAGCTGCCAGTCGTGTTCGGCCGCGCCCGTGAATTTCTGCTTCTGTTTCCGCCGCGCCGCGCGGAGCTTGCCGAAGGCTGCGCGCGCGAGAGCCGCGCGCACGCAGGTCTTCGTCGACGACTTCCGTTTCACGTCGGCGGACCTCGCGCGGTGGGCCGCGGCCCACGCGCCGATCGCGTCGCCGGACGACCCGCGGCTCAAGCGCGCCGCCTACCTTCGCGCGGATTAGGACCCTACTCCGCGGTGTCCGCGGTGAGGAGCGCGACGTAGTCCTCGTAGTAGATGTGGCCCGTCTCGAGGTCCTTGGCCACGGAGAGGAAGGCGTCGATCTCCTTCTCGCGGAAGGGCGTGCCCTTCGTGATGAGGGCCTCGCGGAGGCGGTTCGCCTCGATGTAGCCCTTGCCGTCCTCGTCGAAGACCCGGAAGGCCTGGAGCAGCACCTCCTCGGAGTCGGGCTCCCAGTCGCCCTCGGCCAAAATCTCGAGCATCTTCGGCTCGAATCTCTCGTACTTGACGAACGCCGACGGCTCGTCCTCCTGCGGGGGCCGGGCGCGGTCGAAGCGACGGACGCGACGCGCGCGGCGCGCGGCGAGCCTTCGGACGGGCGCGACGAAAGGCGCTCGGGCGGCCCGCGACGCCAGCTCGTCCGATCAGCGCGAAACACCGTCCGGAGGACGCCGGCCCGCGGACCATCATGTCCGGGAGGATCTCCTTGACCATGGCGCGCTCCGTCGGGTAGGCGCCGAGGTAGCGCATGATCGTCGACACCTCCTCCTGGATGACGCAGCCCTTGCGGTCCTTGTCGAAGAGCTGGAAGGCCTCCCGGATCTTCTTCTTCGTCTCCACGTACCAGTTCTCGTCCCGCGCCTCGGCGGCCATGCTGCCCAACGCAGTTATGGGCGTCAAGGTCGATTCAACGTTGACGGTGCAGTCTGAGTAGTTGACGAGTATGGAGGCTGCTCATGGGGAAAGATCCTAGCTGTGCACCCATGTCGGGCTCCTGCCTGTGCTACTACGACAAGCACACGCAGGAGCGCGACGGCCTAAAAGCTTCAGAGTGGTGGCACCTGCCAACTACGGACGTGCCTGCACCTTTCCGGGGCATCATGTGGCTTCCGGGCAACGGCGACCCGAGCCTGCTTTCTTTTAACACTTCGCATTTCGATGCGGCGCGACGGCGCATCAAGTTCAAGATCTACGCGCCGGACGCCTGGTACTCGACGACCAAGCTCTCGCACTCGGCGCTCTGCTGCGGGAGCTACGCCGTCTACGTGTCCGAAGACGCGACGCGCGCGGACATCCGCAGCACCTCCTTCGACTGGCCGTGCTGCTGCGGCGTCGAGAGCTGCCGGTGCATCGCGGACTTTACGATGGAGCAGCAGGCGGAGGACCCGAACCTCTGGATCCGCGACTCCGTCCTGTGCAAGGCGTGCTGCGGGCGGCGGTGCGGCGAGCGGTACACGTTGACGCGCGTCGTCGACGACCGGGGGCAGCAAACGCCACACTACGCCGCCATGGTCGCGGCGAACGGGCCCGCGTGGACGCTCACGACGCGCACGCCCTTCCCGCTCTACTGCGGCGCGGACGCGTCGCACCACGCGGCCACCGCCGCGCCGGGATCCGTGGCGCCCGTCGAACGCTAAGGACACACACAGAAGACAGGTTAGAGCTCGGTTTTGCCGCCGAATTCGGACGTGACGGCGGCGACCCAGTCGTCGTGGAGCTTGCCGGCGATGCGGCTCGACGGGTCGTACGCGAAGGGCCGCGAGATGTTCTCGAGCGCGGGCGCCCTCCGCCGCGGCGCGAAGCTCAGCGGCGCGTCGGCGTTGGGGCCCGGCGCCACCTCGGCGAAGCGCGCCATGGAGATGACCTTGGCGTAGCGCCGCTTCCGCGCCGTCGACAGCGGCCCCGTGCCTTTGCCGACGACGAAGTCGAGCTCCCGCGCCTTGTCGGACGACGCGCGCGGCGCAAAGTTCGTGTCCTTGTACCACTTGCGCGCGTAGGTGAGGTAGAGCAGGGACCGCAGGTCCGGCGACCGGTTCGTGCCGCCGCGGTGCTTGACCTGGTAGTCGAAGAGGAGCACGTCCGTCACGTTCAGGCGCTCGACGCGGCGGCCCTTGCCGAAGAAGCAGTGGTCGAGCGTCGGGTCGTTGGGGTCCGGGAAGTACTCGAGGAGCGTGTCCATGAGCGTCCGGTCCTTCAGCGCCTCGACGATGGTCTCGTCCTTGGGGTGGTCGTCGTAGTTCCAGCCCGAGAGCCACGACGTGCCCATGCAGAACTCCGTCGGCCCCCGGTCGCCGTGGATGTCGAGGAGCGGGTGCATGACCGTGACGCTGTAGGACCCGTAGTCGTGGCCCGCCATGCCGTGGGCGCTGAGCGCGTCCTCGCCGAAGAGGTAGTCGTCGTCCTTGTGCCAGACCTGCGGCGCCGATTCGCGCTCCGCGATGGCGACGCCCGCGTCGTTCAACACGAAGTCCTGGCCGAGGATGCGCGGGTGGCTCAGGAGCTGCGTCAGGTAGGGCGGCGCGACGATCTCCGGCGCCGCGAAGGTCTTCGGGAGGAGCATGAGCCATCGCGCGTGGTCGCGGTCGTCGTCGTCGTCCTCGCGGTTGCTCAGGGGAAACACGAAGTAGTCCTCGCCGTGCGTCGTCGACCCCTTCATGGACAAGGTCCCGTTCTTCAGGGCGAGGATGTGGTCCGCGAGCGCGTCGCGGAACTGCTCGACGTCGCCGCGGTCCATCGCGTTCCGGAGCACGAGCACGCGGCATTTCCGGAAGACCCGCGCGGCCTCGAGGATGGAGAAGCCCGGGCCGGAGGCGTCGAGGGCGTGGCCCTGCTGGCACTCCGGGTCCTCGACGACGCGGAGCGCGCCGCGCACGAGCCGGTCCGCGAAGAAGCGGTCGTCGTCGTCGCCGAGGGACGCGCAGGAGCTGCCCGCCTCGGCGCGGCAGGAGTGCTCCCAGGCCAGGCCGTCGCTGATGAGCGCCCCCGTCTCCCGCCGCTCCTCGTCGCCGACACTCCACCGCGCGGCGAGGAGGAGCGCGAGGCAGCCCAGATGGCGCCCATTTGGCGCCATCGGGGCGATTGCGATGCTCTTGAGCGGCAACATCTCGGCAACATCGGTTCAGCGAGCTTGCCTATGGCAAGTACTGACGAGCCCATGGCCGAGACCGACGCGCCCGCTACCTCTAGCGAACCCTTGGAGGCCGGCACCGACTCGTCGTGCCCGGCGCGCGTCGTGCGCTGCGAGAAGGTGCTGCGGGCGCGAACGGGGCGCGTGCTGCTCGTGCTCGACCGCATCCACGACCCGCACAACGAGGCCGCCGTCCATCGCACGGCGGAGGCGCTGGGCGTCCAGCACGTCTGGAGCGTCAATCCCGTGCTCGTCGACAAGAAGAAGCGCTCGGCGAAGCGCGGCGCGAAGACCGTCGCCAAGGGCGCGGACGCGTGGCTGAGCCTCCGGCGCTTCGACGACCCGGAGGCGTGCGTCGCCGCGCTCCTCGCCGACGGCTGGGAGATCTGGTGCGCCGCCGACGGCGCCGGCGCCTTGCCGCTCGCGGCGGCGCGGCCGGCCTGCGTCGCCGCCGCGCCGAAGGTCGCCGTCGTCGTCGGCCGCGAGGCCGACGGCTGCGACGCCGCGTTCCTCGCCGCGGCGGCGCGGCGCGTCTTCGTCGAGATGGTCGGCTTCACGACGTCCTTCAATTTGAGCGTCGCGACGGCGCTCATCCTCCAGCGCGTCTTCGACTGGTTCCCGGCCTGGCGCGGCGACCTCGACCGCGGGGAGCGGGACGCGCTGCGCGACGCGTGGCGCCCGGCCATCGCGAAGAACGACACGGCGAAGCGCAAGCTCGACGCGTGGCTCGACGCGCCGGAGACCATCCGCGGCGCCGCGTCCGAGGCGGCGACGGTCTCCTGCGGCAGCTGGGCGCCGAAGGACTTCCGCGAGCGGGAGAAGAAGGCGCGCGAGGACGCTAGGGGCTAGGGACTATCGCGCCGACACGCAGGTCCGCGCGTCCGCGCCGCTCCCGTCGGAGTGGTCCTGGGGCAGGGCCTCGTCCGTGGCCACGATCGTCGACGCGCACGCGAGGCAGTAGCTCGCGAAGGCCGCGACGTCGTCCGTGCGCTCGAGGCCGTCGATGGAGCTCACGGCGCCGCCGTCGTAGACGGCGAGCCGCTCGAGGAAGGTCGCCGCGCCGCGGGGCGTCCAGAGCTCCGCGTGGCCGCCGAGGTACCTCGTCGTCGCGGACGCGCGCGCCGGCGCGGCCGCGACGAAGGCGTCCTTCGTCGCGCGGTCCTCGGGGGACTCCTCGGTCCAGCAGCCGAGGCGCACGAGGTCGAAGGCCTCCGGCAGGTCCAGGGCCCGGAACTTTTCGAGGAAGCCGTCCGCGAAGACGGCGTCGTCCTCCAACGCGAGGTAGAGCCCGTCGTCCATCGCCGCGATCGTCTCCTGGATCGACGTGTGCGACAGGTAGATGGCCAGCGTCGTGTAGGCCTCGTCGGCGCCGAAGTGCGCCGTCTCCGTCGAGAGGTCGAGCCCGCGGACGCCGCCGCTTTCGTACGCGAACTTCGCCGAGGCCGTGTCCGTGCAGGCGACGCGCTCCCGGGGCACGCCGGGCAGCGCTCGGTCGAGCTGGGCCTCGATGGACGCGCGGCGGTCGAGGTCGGCGTCGCAATTGATGTAGAACACTTTGTCGATGCTGCGTCCGCTCCGAGCGTCCAGCGCTAACACGCTCGGCCGCCGCGCGCCGCGCACGACGAGAGCCGCGGAGCAGGCGAGGCCGGCGCAGGCCGCGAGGAACGGCCGCCGCCAGTCCTTGGACCGCACGAGCGGCGACGCCTCGTCATAGGCCATGCTGCCCCGAACTCTGAGGTTCTTTTCACATATCCAATTCAACCTGGGGCTGCTTAAATAAAAGCTCTCTACTACGCTGCTATCGCGCGCAGATACGCCTGAGCCCATGTTTACCGGTTGCACTCGCTCGAAACATCGAGCACGTTTTCGAGCGTGCGATGGAGAATCCATCAGCTTCTCAGGCCCACAGCCCAGCCATAATGCAACGACGTACCACGATCCCAGTGGCTTTGTTGACCGCGCGCGTACGGACGAGGCAACGGCGAAAACTTGACATCGAGCCGATTCCGGGGCGACGCGAACGAGAGGTTTTATGGGCTGGGATGGGGCGCGTTCGGCTTCCCCGACCCCTTCGAGCTAGATTTGAGCTCTCGCAGCACCAGAGATCGTTCATCGTCACCCACGCATCGCCTCGGTGCAAGGGTTAGGTCGCGGGGCTCGATATGGTCGAGCTCGTCTGGTCGGGTTCGGGCGCCGCCGCGGCCCGCAGCGGCTCCCGTTACCGTCGAAACAAGGACGAGATCGCTGGACCTAAAGCTTGGCGCCCCTCGGGGCACCGGTTCCGAGGCCGGAACCGCCTTTAGGTCCAGCTGAAAGACTCTGTCTCGACCATACTCGGGCGGTGCGTCCCCGCCGCCGCCCGTCAACTCCTCTCGAACGCGGCCCATCGGCAAGCTCTCCCGTGGACAAAATCGGTGGCGCGGCACGAGACACCGGATCCGATGCCGAAACGCGTAATTTGTCCACCGCTCAGAGGGTTCCTGGACCGCACGGGGGCTGCCATGCCGCCCTCTGGAGAATTGGCGTCTCAGACGAAATTATCGGCGCGAAGCGGCAACCGGGCTGCTTCATGCTCTGCACGACCAGCTAAAAAGTATCTGCGCGCGATAGCTGCGCGCCGGAGCGTCGCGTTTTGGTCGGTCGCGGCGAAGGTCGGGGCGCTCCTTCGGCCGCGGAGCTCAGTCCGCGTGCGTCGCCTCCTTGAGCTCCGCGCGCACCGTCGCGACGCCCTTGACGACGTGGCCGAGGGCGATGGCGGCGACGCCGTGGTGCGCGCCCGGCGTGAGGTCCTCGGCGAGCTCGACGGCCGCGAAGCCGAGCGCGCCGGCCGCGAGGGCCAGCTTCAGGAACGGGTTCCCCAGGATCCGCGCGAGCGGCCCCTCGCCCTCGCCGACGACCTCCTCGCCGACGTCGTGGAGCTCGTGGAGGCTGAGGAGGAGCATGCCGTGGTGGCCGCCGGGCTTCAGGTCCTGGAAGACCTCGTAGCCGCTCGCGACGAGCGCGAAGACGCAGAGCAGGCGCAGCGTCCGGTGGTTGAGGACGAGGCGCTTCAGGAGGCCGGCCCTGGCGCGGAGGCCCTTCCGCGCCTGCAGCGCCAATTCCTCGAGGTCCGCGAAGGTCCGAGCGAGGCGGCTGAGGGCGACCATGAGCAGCCCGTGGTGGTGCCCGAGCTCCAGGAGCTCCTCGCGCATCTCGTAGAGCGCCAGGCCGCCGCCGACGAACGACGCGGCGACGTTGAGCTTGTCCGCGCGGGACAGGGCGCTCGCGACGGACTCGCCGCCGGCGACGCGCGCGCGCAGCGCTTTGAGCGGGCGCTTCGCATCGCGCTTTATGGCGGATGCGGAGGCGGCGAGGAGCAGGAAACGGAGCATCGTCGCTGCTGGGTGGCGGCGGAGCGCGCTCGGGCTGCGCGGATCGCGGCGGCTGCGAGCGCGACTGGCTCGCGGGCTGCCTCAGGCTCTGATCTGGAGTCGGCCGGCGGTCGTCGATGCACGTCAAATTGAACAGTGTTGACCTTGACTTTGTGGCCTCCATCTGCGGCTGATGGCGTCGACGCGGCTCGTTTCCGTCGTCCCCCGGCGGGCCCTGGGCGCTCCCGCTCCCGCGTCGCTGGCGTCGTCCGCCCGCGCCGCCGCGCGGCGGTCGCTGAGCGCCCCCGCGGCCCGCGCCGCCGCGCCGGGGTCGCGCCTCGCGGCCCTGCGCGAGACGCTCCAGGATGAGGAGCGGCGGGCCGTCAAGGCCGCCGCGACGACGAGGGGCGGCAAGCTCGCCAAGCTCCCGAAGCCCCGGTGGCTCAAGGCCCAGCCCGCCGAGGGCGATAACTACGAGCGGCTCCGGGGCACGGTCCGGTCGCTCGGCCTCGCTACGGTCTGCGAGGAGGCGCGGTGCCCGAACATCGGCGAGTGCTGGGGCGGCAAGTCGGCGCGCAAGGAGGACGGCTCGAAGCCCGACGAGGACGACCACACGGCGACGGCGACGATCATGATCATGGGCGACACGTGCACGCGGGGCTGCCGCTTCTGCTCCGTGAAGACGAGCCGGACGCCCCGGGCCCTCAACCCCGAGGAACCGAAGAACACGGGCCGGGCCGTCGCCGAGTGGGGTTTGGACTACGTCGTCATCACGTCCGTGGACCGCGACGACGTCCACGACCACGGCTCGGGCCACATCGCCGAGACGGTCAAGGAGTTGAAACTGGCCAACGAGAATTTACTCGTGGAGGTGCTGAGCCCGGACTTTGGGGGCGACCTGGCCCGCGTCGAGACCGTGGCCCACAGCGGCCTCAACGTCTTCGCGCACAACATCGAGACCGTCGAGCGGCTCACGCCCTTGGTGCGGGACCGCCGCGCGGGCTACCGGCAGACGCTGGACGTGCTGCGCCACGCCAAGGCGTCCGCCGGCGTCCTCACGAAGACGTCGATCATGCTCGGCTTCGGCGAGGCCGACGACGAGATCCGCGCGACGCTCGCGGACCTGCGCGCCGCGGGCGTCGACGTCGTCACCTTCGGCCAGTACCTCCAGCCGACGAAGCGCCACCTCAAGGTCAAGGAGTACGTGACGCCGGAGAAGTTCGACGCCTGGAAGGACGAGGCCGACGCCATGGGCTTCCTCTACGTCGCGTCGGGGCCCCTCGTGCGCTCGTCGTACCGCGCGGGCGAGCTCTACGTGAAGAACCTCTTGCAGGGCCGCAAGCCCGGCGCGAAGCTGAAAAAGGCGGACGCGGCCGCGGAGCCGCCCGCGGGCCGCGGCGTCACCGTGACGCGCGTCGCCGCGAAGCCGCCCGCGCCGCGCCGCGCCGAGGCCGCGGGCTGAGTAACATTTTAGGGTCGAGGTTCGCGGATTGCAATCCGCCGTGCACAACGAGCGGCCGGCCCACGTCCCGATCGAGTCGCACTTGCCGACCGTCGCACCGCGCGACGCGCAGAGCTCGGCGCCGCGGTTGCACGCGCCACCGTTCTGCTGCGAGTGCCGCTTCTTGCGGCCCGTCAGGCGGTCGTTGAAGCGCTCCTGGCCCTCGTTCTGGTGCCTGTAGAGCGGGCCATAGAGCTCCATCATGTCGCGCAGGTGCCCCGCGATGACTCGGATGTCGTGGACTCCGAGTCGCGTCCGGTTGCCAGCATCTCGCACGCCGTGCTGATCAAGGGGCCGCCGAGCGGGCCGCCGGCGGAGGTCCTCAGTAAGCTGGCGCCTCATCAACGAGTACTACCCGGCGGAGGTGCGGCAGCCATGGGTGCGCGCCTACTGGCAGGAGGAGACGCGCTTGATGGGGGATTCGAGCCTGACCTGGAAGTCCATCGTGTCTGGGGACCTCGTCCCGTCGTCCCCACGCCGGCCACGTGGAGCTCGCCCTGACACCATCGGTCGCCGCGGAGCTTGATCAGCGGCAGCCCACGCTTTTTGAACCGGGCGACGACGACCGCGTCGCCGCATGCCGCCGCCCGCGTCATCAACCCCCGGCCCCCGTCGAGCGAGTTCCAGCATCGAGGCAGCCCCCAAAACTCTGACACCGATGGTCCGCGTCCCCCGCGCGGCCCTCGAGGACGTGTCGGAGATGCAGCTCTGGGAGGGCCTGCTCGTCGCCGCCATGGCCATCGCCTTCTGCCACTTCGCGTTCCAGGCCATCCGGCCCGCGCCGCCGGCGAAGGACGACGGGGCCGTCGAGCGCGACCGGAAGCGGGCGCTGGCGGACACGGTCGTGCGCAGCGGCCCCTGGGAGCTGCTCGAGAAGGCGCGGCCCGGCGAGACCTTCAGCTCCCTGCGGATCGACGACGGCCTCCACGCGTTCTGGGTCGCGCGCGGCGGTGGCGAGGCCGTCGTGCGCCGCCGCGTGCTCCGGGGCTGCCTCGAGGGCCGCGTCGGCGACGAGCCGCTCAGCGGGCGCGGCGTCGCGGGCTACGCGCCCCTCGACGGCGGCGTCGCCCTCTTCGACGGCTCCGGCGCGGCGTGCCTGACGATCCCGGAGAACGAGGTCACGGGACCGGAGATCGTCCGCGTCCACGAACCCCCCCCTAACTCCCCCCACGTCGCCGGCGCGCCGGCGCTCGACGTGAGCCGCGCGACGCGGAGCCACTGCGGCGGCTTCATGCACGCGGCGCTCGTCGCACCGCGCGGGTCGGCGGTCGTCGCCGTGGACCTGACGTCCGGAAGGGAGGCGACGGTCTACGCGGGCGACGATCCCGTCGCCGCGGCGGCCGTGTCGGAGGACGGGACGGGCCTCGTGCTCTTCGTCGGCGACCGCGTGCTCTGCGCGGCGCTGGACGCCGACCGCAGGGCGACGGGGGACGCCGCGGAGCTGCTGCGCGCGGACGCGCCGCTCGTCGGAGCGCCGGTGTTCCGCGGCGGCCGCGTCTTCGTCGCCACGGCGCGGGGCGTCCACGACCTCGCCTGGGACGGCCGGGGCGACGGCGCGCTCCGCTACGCGGCGCCCGCCGGCGACACCGTCGCCGCCTTCGCCCTATCCGCCTCCGGCGCGCTCTTCGTCGCGGCGGGCGCGAAAACGGTCCACCCGCTCCCCGAGCCCGCGCCGGCCGCCGTGCGCGAGCTCGCCGTCAGCCCCGGCGGCGACCTCTACTGCCTCGCCGACCACGGCTGCCTCTTCAAGTACGCCGAGGCCGCGAAGTAACCTCTCGACTCGTCCGCGTACTCCGATGTTTCTAGGGATCTGCGAGCGGGCGCGGGAACTTGCGCCCGCGTACGCCGCGCCGATGTTTTTTAGGGGTCCGCGAGATGGCGCGGGAACTTGCACTCGTGGTCGACGACGCAGCGCCCGACGGACTCGATCTGGCAGCAGGCCCAGTCCTTGCGCACGCGCCGGTAGAGGAGGGGCGACGCGAGCTTGAGCCAGCCGTAGCGCACGGACTTGTAGTTCGACTTGCAGTTGAACTCGGGCGGCAGCGCCATGACCCGCGCGTCGGACGCGAGCACGGCCTCGTTGAAGAGCCTCTGGTCCGTGACCTTGACGGTCTGCCGCTCGTAGGTGCGCAGCCAGGCGGCGAAGATGCGTTTCGCGGGCCGCCGCCGCGCGTTGAAGGCGATGACGCCCGCGTTGAGCCAGTGCAGCGCGCGCGCGAAGCCGCGCCGCATCGAGCTGTGCGTCGCCATGACGTCGTAGCGCTCCAGCGCCGGCGACAGCTCGGACCGCAGCCAGTCGAAGGACGCGCAGGGGAAGGCGTCGGCGTCGAGGTACAGCGTCTTGTCGTAGGGCGTCGCCGTGAAGGCCCAGAGCCTGGGCAGGACAAGAGTGCGAAATTCCCAACTTCAAAGGCTCCTCTCTCGGCCGGTTTCCACTCGTTTCGGCTGATTTTTGGACGAGCGATCATCTCTCGGAACGGTCTCGAAGCGTGGATGCTTTTTCCAGAACGCGCGCGCGCGGAACACTCACGTTGAAGCGACGTTGAATCACCCTTGTCCTGCCCTGCCCAGAGCTTCGCCGCGCGGAACCCCCACGTGTCGGACGCGTTCGCGACGGCGCACCGCAGGTGGCCCAGCCGGTCGGCGACGTGCTTCCGCTCGCGCCGCTTCAGCTTCTCGCAGCTCCGCGCGCCGGGGGCGTCGCTGAAAATCGTCGCGTTCGCGCCGACGCCGAGCGCCAGCGCGCTCTCGAACGCGCGCACGACGAACGGCCCGTTCGCGGCGTAGATGACGCCGAAGGACGCGGCGCCGTCGTCCGGGTACGTCGGCTCGTACATCTGGTCCGCCGTCGCCGCGTGCATGCCCGACGCGCCGCCGTCGAGGAAGTCGGCGTCGAAGTTGCAGAGGAGCAGGAAGAGGACGACCGCGGCGACCAACCCGAGGCCCGCCTGGCGCCGGCCGAAGGGCGCCGCCCGCTTCTTGTCGTCCATGTCGCCGCGTCGCGGCGCGACGCGCGGCGCAGCACTCGACGGATGCGCACCACGCTGCGACGTCGCGGACGCGGCGCGGTTCGCGCGACTGCTCGACGCGTCGACGAGAGTTCAGCGGCAACTCAGGGCATGTTGCACGTCACCGAGCCGTCCGGGACGCCTCCGAAGCCCACCAAGCCCCCCCAAAAACGCAAAAAACAGAGACGGTGTCGTAGCGAAGGAAGGGGGAAACAAGCGACGGGCGGGCGGGCTACATCTTGATCTCGTCGTCGGCCTCGCCCTTCTCGAGGGACGTCTCGTTCTCGACGATCTCGAGCTCGATGTGCGCGACCTGCTTCGCGAGCATCTCCTTCTTCGCGGCCTTGCGCTTCTGGTACTCGCGCTCCTCGCGCTGGGACTTGAGGTACTTGTGGACGCAGTAGATGAAGAAGGCGCCCATGAGCGAGAAGATCGTGAGCGCGACGACGTCGGGCTTGGCCGCGGACGAGTCGGACGACGACCTGGGCAGGACAAGAGAGATTCAACGTCGCTTCAACGTGAGTGTTCCGCGCGCGCGCGTCCCGGAAAAATCATCCACGCTTCGAGACCGTTCCAAGAGATGATCGCTCGTCCAAAAATCAGCCAAAACGAGTGGAAAACGGCCGAGATATGAGGCTTTGAAGTTTGGAATTTCGCTCTCTTGTCCTGCCCGGACGACGACGTCGAGTTCGTGTAGTTGCCGTAGCCGTAGGAGCTCGAGCATTTGCAGCCGTCGCACTCGCAGCCGTACTCGAACTTGACGGCGGCGCAGGTCGCGGGCGCGTACGCGGCGCACGAGAGGCCCGCGCAGATCTCGCCGCAGTCCGTGATCCGGCAGCAGTCGCCGCAGTTCGCGTCGAGGGCGTCGACGACGATGTCGTAGACCTCCGCGTCGCTCGGCGCCGCGTCGAGGGCGCCGCAGGCGACGTACATGGCCTCCGTGATGGGGCTCAGAACGCCGCCGTAGGCGTAGGCGTCCGTCGGCTCGGGCGCGGGCGCGCGCGTCGGCTGCCGCGACGGCTTCGGCGTCCGCGAGCCGACGTCGTCGACGGCGCTCGGCGCGGGCGACGCCGACGGGACCGGGGTCGCCGAGGGCAGGCCCGTCGGCGCGCGGGTGCCTCGCGGCTCGCGCGTCGCGCGCTTGACCGTCAGCAGGACGAGCTCCCGCGGCGCGAGGTGGAACTCGGCGAGGCCGCTCCCGGGCACCTCGAGGAATTCGCCAAAGGCCGTCACGTTGAAGTGCGTGTGGTTCGCGTGGGGCTTCTCCCGCTTCGGGAACGACAAAACGCACGAGTAGTTCCCCGGCAGCAGCCGCAGGAACTGGGCCCCCATGGCCCGGGGCTCCGCGCCAAAGTGGTAGAGCTGCGCGGACAGGAACGTCGCGTTGTGCCGCAGCACGAGAGCCGCCAGGTGCTCCGGGTGCGTCTTCCATCGCACGGCCGGCAGCGGCGCGACGCGACCGTCGGACACGTCGCCCGTGACCATGGAGTAGAGCAGGTCGACGGCGGCCTTGTCCGGCGCCGTCGCGTTGTCCGCGTGGCTAAAGTGGTCCAGGTAGTTGGCGGCCAGGCTCCACGCGGCGTCCGTGTACTGGACCTCGGACGTGTACGCGGCCTCGTTGTACGACAGCGCGCGGTGCAGGCGCTCGAGGTGCTCCAGGGGCAGGTCGCGGTGCCGCGCGTCGTCGTCGGCCTCGCCCGTGGACCCCTCGCCGAAGAGCACGTAGTCCGCGTAGCCCGTCACGAACTCGCGGAGGTCGTCCGCCTGGAACTCGTCGAGGCGCCCCCGCTCGCCCAGGAGCATGGCGTGGACGGCGACGGCGGCCTCGAGGGGCCCCCGGGCCCGCCGCCCCACGTCCAGGGGCGTGCCCGCGTCCGGCTCGTCGGGCAGGTCGTCGTCCTCCTCGAAGGCGAGGAACGTGCGGTAGAGCTGCGCGTTCGCGAACAGCGGCTCGAGGAACGCGACGCGGTCGTCGCCCGCGGCGCCGGCGTAGTGGTAGGCGAGCACGAGCCACTTGAAGAGCGTCGCGGTGTCGTCCTGGCGGTGCGGGTACATATGTTTTGTCGACGGCGGCGCGTCGCACATCTCGAAGGAGCAGCCCGTCTCCGCGTTGGACACGTTGACGCAGTACCAGTCGCAGCCCGGCGTCGTCCAGCCCGTCGCGTTCGTCGGGAAGCCGCCGACGTCGCCGGAGGGCCAGGACACGGCCGCGGGGACCGCGGCCGCGGGCTTGCAGCCGCCGCCCTCGGCCATCGCGCGCGCCGCCCACGCGCGGAGCCAGGGCCCGAGCACGGCCAACACGATCTTGCGCACGTGGTGGTACTTCTTCGACGTGCCCCCCCCGCCCGACACGAACGCCTCGGGCGAGTGGCCGCCGGCCTCGGAGAACCACTGCCACAGGAGCGCGGCCGGCGCGAGGACGGCGCCGTGCTGCGGCGTGCCGCACGCGTACTCGCTGTGGTTCGCTAGATCGTCGCTCAGGCCCCAGGAGCCGTCGACGGCCGAGATGTGCGTGCCCATGAAGTGGCGGTCCCCGAGGTCGTTCTCGCCGATCCAGTGGTCCCGCGTGTGGTTCAGGAGCCACACGGTCCGGTTGACCCACGCGGACTGGTAGTAGGGGCAGGAGTCGCAGGTGACGTAGCAGGCGTCCCGGGCGATCTGCCCGTCGTCGTTCTTGCTGTTCTCGCATCTATCCAGGTTCTCGCCCACGAAGCCGCAGTCGCGCGACGGCCGGTTCCGCTCGTGGAAGCTCACGCTGTCCGCGCACTCCGGGTCGTCGACGTTGAAGGGCTCCGCGGCCTCGAGGAGCAGGAGGGGCACGAGCGTGTCCGCCGTCAAAGCGGAAGCCTCGCCGACGTCGTCGCCCGTCGTCGGGTAGGGCGCGCCCGCCATGTTCGGATTGTCCTCGAAGGCGCCCTTGGCCAGTTTCCGCCACGCGCCGCGGCTCCGCGCGTCCTCGAACCCTAAGAACACGGGCGTCCACCAGCGCCAGAGCGCGACGTCGTCGCCGAAGCCGCCGCCGAAGGCGCCGTCGCCCATCTGCCGCTCGTCGACCCACCAGTTCGCGACGTGGTTGATCTTTTCCAGGATCGCGCGCTGCGCGTTGGCCCAGTTCGGCGCGTCGCCGTCCTCCTTGTGGAGGTCGGGCCAGGGCGTCGGCTTGCCGAGGTACATCTTGACGAGGTTGTTCTTCGGGAAGGCCCGGTGCGCGATCTTCAGGAGATCCCTCGCTTCCGCGTAGTAGAGCTCCTCGAGCCACTGCAATTCCACGCCCGCCCAGATGAGGTAGCGCGCCCGGTACATGCACCAGATGGGGTAGAGGGGGCTGTGGGGCGGCAGCATCTCCGGGTACATGGCGAAGTCGATGGACTCCGCGAAGGCCGCGGGCCAGACCTTGTCGACGTCGTTGCCGCTGAGGAACCCCGCGGCGCCGGAGACGGCGTTCGTACTATAGCGCTCGCCGCCCTCGGCCCAGAAGGCCGTCGGGTCCGCCCAGCGCTCGACGGTCGGGATGAGGACGTCGAGGTCGTCCGCGACGCGGTGGCTCGCCGACTCGTTGAGCAGCCGCTCCCGCGCGTTCAGCAGGAGGCCCAGGCGCAGGATCTCGTCGTCCGTGTTGCCGGCGAGCTCCAGGATCGTGAACGTGTCGTTGACGTGGTCCACGAGCTCCGTGCTCGGCTTCGACGTCGGCAGCGACGTCGGCGAGTACGTCGGCTCGTCGCTACGCGTCGGCCCGTACGTCGGCGCCTGGCTCGTCGTCGGGTGCTTCGAGGCGCTCGGCGGCGGCGACATGGACGGCGGATGGCTCGGCGCCGGCGTCGGGGTGTCGGTCGGCTTCGCCGTGGGCTTGGCCGTCGTCGGCTCGGCCGTCGGCGCGGCCGTCGGGTACGGCTCGGGAATTAAGACCGCGTCGACGGCGTGGACGACGCCGTTGATGGCCAGGATGTCCGCCGCCGTGACGTCGGCGCTGTTGATCGCGCCGGCGATGCGCACGGGGTCCAGGGAGACGACGAGGTCGTAGCCGTCGAGGTTCTCCGCCTCCTGGCCCTCGCTTAGGTCGCCGCTCCTCACCTCCGCCGCAATCACGTGGTACTCGAGCAGCCGCACGAGCTCGTCCTGGTGCTCCGCCTCCAGGTAGTAGGCGACGTCCACGTCCCCGAACGCGTCGTTCGTCGGCGCGAAGAGCGTGTAGGGCCCGTCCTCGTCGAAGGAGAACCGCGTCGACCCGGGCCCGCGCTCGCCGATGAGATCCGCGGCCTCGATGGCCGCCACGAGCGTGGAAAAGTCCGAGTCGCCCCGCAGGAGCTCCATGACGGTCTGGAGCGTCGGCGCCGCCGTCGGCGACGGCGTCGGCAGCGGGTCGGGGAAGACGACGTTGTCTATTTTATGGATCACGCCGTTGTCCGCCGCGACGTCCCGGGTGACGAGGTCGCCGCACTCCGTCGACTTGGAGCAGTCGACGGCCGTCGGATTGAGGCGGATGGGGTTCAGGTTCACGCGGATGTCCTGGCCCATGGCCGTCTCCAGCGTCGTCGACGTCTCGATGAAGCTCGCCTCGTACCTTTCCTCGCCGGACACGACGTGGAAGAGGAGGAGCCGCCGCAGCTCGTCGGGGCCCGTCGCCGCCGCGAGGTAGGCCTCGAGGTCGACGCCGTCGAAGGCGTCGTTCGTCGGCGCGAAGACCGTGAAGGGCCCGTCGCCCTCGAGCGTCTCCGTGAGGTTCGCCGCTTGGATGGCCTCGTAGAGCGTCGACAGCTCCGGGTCGCTCGCGACGACCTCGACGATGGTCTCGGCCGTCGCCGCCGCGGCGAGGACCGCCGCCGCGACGAAGGCCCGCATGGCGCCGGGCGCCGCGAAGAAGAAACGGCTCCGGAGTCGTCTGGGTGCGAGGCGCCTCCGATGCAGCGCCGCCGCCGGGACCGCCGATCGATGCGGCGCGCCGAGCGCGGTGCGGGCGCCGCGCGCGCCTCCGACGCCCGGCGACGCGCCGCCGCCGCCCAGGAACGTCGGCGCTTTCTGACGGCACGACTGGGGCAGCCCAATAATCTCTGTGAGGGCTGTGTTTACGCCTGGAGACAACTCCGAGATCCAATATCATCGAGTTGCATAGTGCGGCAACAGGCGCCTCAATTTAGCATCCTTCGCGACCTTGCCTCCTCATTGACGCTTTTGATCTCGCAATGGCCATGCGTGAGGGCCTGCGCGCTCATTGCAACCAGCCGCGCGGCAGCAGCTAACGCCATGGTCCGCGTCTTCGGCGCCGCGAAGCTCCTGCGCGTGCTCGCGCGGCGCTGGCTCGGCGGCCTCGTGGACCTCGAGGCCGTGCAGGTGGCCGTGTGGAGCGGCGAGCTCGAGCTCTTGAACGTCGCCCTGAGCGGCGCGCGCGTCGAGCGGTTCCTGGAGGTGCTCGGCGTCCGCGGGCGCGCCGTCGCGGCGCGCGCGCGGCGCGTCGCCGTGTCCGTGCCCGTGAGCTGGCGCAAGGGCGCGCGCGTGCGCATCGTCGTCGACGGCGCCGTCGGCGTCGTCGACGCGCGCGGCGGCGGCGGCGCGCGCGGCGCGAGCGCGCGCGAGGCGGCGGCGCGGCGCGCGCTCGCCGCCGACGACCGGGCCGCGGCGCGGGGCGACGGCGCGCAATACAGCTACTGGCGCGCGTTCGCGAGGCGCGTCGCCGAATCCGTCGACGTCGTCGTCCGCGACGCGGGCGCGCGCGCGCTGCTGCCCGGCGGCGGCAGCGTCGGGCTGGGCGTCGACGAGGTCGCCGTCGAGGCCGCGCCGCGGGACGCGTCGACGGCCTGGACGAAGACCGTCGCGTGCCGGGGGCTCTGCGCGTACCACGCGCGTCCGGGGGAGGTTTCGGGAGACGGCGACGCGCGCGTCGCCGGCGACGACGCGGCGCGGCTCGGCGACGACGTGCGGGCCGCGCGCGACGCGGCGCTCGACGTGCCCGCGGCCGTGGTGCTGCGCCCCTGCGGCTTCGAGGCGTCCGTGAGCTTCTCGGCGACGGCCGGAGGCGCGGCGACGCTCGCGACCGGGCGGGAAACAAACATAGGCGACACGACTTCAATGGTTTCGCACGATTCTGACATAGTCTTTTCACTGTCTACAAAGAACCGGCCGAGAGAAAACGATCCGTCCAAAAATCAGCCGAAACGACTTCGACGTGACCGAGCGAGAGAAGTCTTTGCCGGACGGGGCGTTCCACCGGTCGTTTCCGGCGCAGGCTCGCGATGGACGGCGCGACGTCGGCGCCCTGGGACGCGAGCGTCTCCTTCCACCGGCTCAAGGCGCTCCGCGACGCCCTCGCGCCCGACGGCGACGACGCGCGGCGGTCGCCGGCGGCGGAGGTCCGCGCGTTCCGCGGCGGCGCCGCCGTCGGGCCGTACGCGTACGCGCTGCTCCGGCCCGAGGGCAGGAGCGCGAGAAGCCTCGTGGTCCGCGGCCGCCTCGCCGCGCGGCGGGCCTACGTGCGCTGCCGCGCGGGGCCCCGGGGCTCCGCGGAGGAGCGCGCGCTCGAGGCGCTCTTCGCGCCGGACCAGCTCCGGCTCTTCCGCGCGCTGTCGTCCGCGCCGCCGCGGCTCGCGCCGTCGCTCTCCTCCGGCAGCGACGTCGTGCTCGACGAGGAGATGGACGCCGCCCAGGAGTCGCTGCGGCGCGCGACGGGCGTCGAGGTGTCCTGCCGGCTCCGCGGCGCGTTGCGGGCCGCGGTCCGCGACGGCGCGGACGCGCCGCTCGCGCGCTGCGCGGGCTCCGTCGACGCGCGCGCGGCCGCGCGCTTCGACGACACGGCCGTGGGCGCCTGGTCCTTCGGGCTGAGCCTCGGCGCGGACGCCGCCGTCGAGGACGCGTCGTCGGACGCCGCGGCGGCCCGGGGCCGCTTCGCGTGGGTCGCGCGGGCCCGGCGGGACGCCGCGCCGGTTGCGGCGGACGACGCGGCCATGCCGAACCGGCCGCCGGGCGACTGGGCGTTCTTGGACGCCGCGGCGGACGCGCTGCTCAAGGTCGCCGTCGTCGGCGACGCCCTCGAGCGCGTCGACGCGTCCCTCTGGTGCGCGCGCGTCGACGGCGTGCTGAACTGGCCCGTGCTCGGGCGGCTCATCGGCGCCTGGCACGACCTCCGGGGCGACCCGCCCGACGCGGCGCCGGACGCGGCGCCGCCGCCGCCGCCGGCGACGCGGCCCGTCTTCCACGCGGATTTCGCGACCGTGGGCTGCCGCTTCACGCTGCCCTACGAGTGGGAGCGCGACCGGGGCGCCGTCGTCCTCGGCTGGGACCGCGCGCGCGGGACCGTGGACACGACGCTGGACGACCCGACGCTCGGCAGCTACGCCGACGCCGAGGCCTTCCTCGAGTCGTGCCTCGTCGCCGGCGAGGAGCGGGGCAGCGACCTGCGCGTCGCGTCGACGCTCTTCTCGGCGACGTGCGAGTCGGCGGGCTTCTACGTGACGGAGACCGCGCCGCTCGACTACGACGCGCTCGTGGACGCCGCGCGCGCGGGCCCGTCCTTCGCGGCGGGCGACGCGCTGCGGCCCACGCTCGAGCCCCTCGAGGGCTGCGCGCTGACCCTGGGCGTGTCGCGGCTCGCGGACCGGGGCACGCTCCGCGTCGGCGTCGTCGTCGTGTTGCCCGAGAAGGCGCGGTGCCGCGTGCTCGTCGACGGGCCCCGGCTCTCGCGCATCTTCGCGATCCTCGGCGACTACCTCGGCGGCGTGCCGCCGCTCGACGCGACCGGCGACCGGCTGCCGCCGCGGGAGCCGCGGGACGCCGAGTCGCCGCGGGACGGAAGCGCGCCGCCGCCGCCGCGCGCGACGCAGGTCGAGATCCGCCTCGTGGTCCCGACCTGCGACGTCTCGCTCCTCGGCGCGCCGCGCGAAACGCCGGAGCTCGCGCGGTGCTGCCTCGTCAGGGTCCGCGGGCTCCGCATCGCGACGCGGCAGCGCGACCGCGGCGACGTCGGCTACCGCGGGCAGCGCTACGCCTTCGACGACGTCTTCATCGACGTGCGCGACGAGCGCGATCTAGAGCGCGACGCCGCGCGGGCGTCGTCGCTCATCGAGGGCACGGGCGGCGGCGCCTTCGAGTACTTCGCGCGGTGGCCGGCCGTCGCGGACCGGCCGCCTCCCCCGGTCGGCGACCGCTGCGCGAGGGCCCTCGACCGCGCCTTCGGCGAGGCCGGCGCGGACCTCCATCGGCCGCCGCCCGACGGCCTGAAGCGCCTCGTCGTGGCGCAGCCCCGCGTGCGCACGGCGCTCGCGGACGCGCTCTTCGCGCTCCGGTCGCTGCTGGGGCTGCTCGGCGGCTTCGAGCCGAAGACGGCCTGGACCTACTACCGCGAGGACGAGCCGTCGCTGGCGCGCCACTCGCCGGCGGCGGCGCCGGCGCCGAAGCGGCCGCCCCTGCGGCGCGGGTCGTCGTCCGCGGAGCACGTCGAGCGCGCGCTCGGCGCCTTGGCCGGCGACCGCTGCGCGGACGCGGCGGCCGCGCGGCGGCGGCACCAGCTGCTGCGCAAGGCGACGAGCCGCAGCAAGCGGTCGCTCCATCCCCACGTCCTCAGACGCGTCGAGTCGCTGTCCCACGACGAGCTCCGGTCCGTGGCCCGCCTCGAGTACGACTTCCGCGACTACGACGTCGTCGTCGCCTCCCGAGCGGAGAAGCGCCCCCTCGTCCGCTGCCGCGGCGACCTCGTCTACGCCACGGACGACGACAACGTCGGCGCCTTCGAGAAGTACCTGACCGTCAAGGCCTGCCGCGTCGACGCGTACCGCGTGCGCACCGCGCGCTGGGAGCCCCTCGTCAAGCCGGGCTTCGCCGTCGAGCTCGCGTCGTCGCTGGCGCCCGGGCGCTCGTCGCGCGGCGCCGTGCTCTGCGACGAGCCCGTCGAGTGCACGCTGACCGTCGACGCGGCCCGGGCGCTGCGCGCGCTCGCGCGCGAGTGCCGCGACGTGTCGCAAGCCGCGCGCGACGCCGGCGGCGAGACCGCCGCGCCGCGGACGTCGGCGACGCTCGAGAACCGCACGGGCGTGGCGCTCGTCGTCGACGTCTTCGACGCCCAGGGCGACGCCCTGGGCGCGCTCGAGGTTCCCCGGGGCGACGTCGCGCGGCTGCCGGCCGGCGCGGCGGACTGCCTCGCGACGGCGCGCTACGGCGACCTGCGCTGGCGCTGCCCGAAGCCCCTCCCCTGCGCCCGGGCCGCGGCGCTCTCGGTGCGCACGTTCCGGGGCCGCGACGGCCTGCCGGTGCCGAGCCGGCCGTCGACGCCGACGCCGCGGAGGCGCGCGTCGTCGGAGGGGCGCGAGGCGACGCTCCGGCGGAGCGACCTGCACCGGCGCGCGCGCGCGTTCGCCGCCGACGCGTCGAGTGCGAGCCGGGGCGTCGACCTGCGCTGGGTCGGCGTCTTCGACGACCGCGGCGCGCTGCGGATCTCGCTCGAGGCCGCGCTGTCCGTCGAGAACGCGGCCGGCGTCGACGTCCTCGTGAGCGCCGGCGGCGAGTCCTGCGTCGCCCGGGCCGGCGGCCCGGGCCGGCCCCGAGTGACGCCCGTGCCGCTCCCCCTCGCCGACGTCGCGCTCGGCGACGCCGCGGCGCGGCCGGCGGCGGCGGCGCGCGCGACGCCGCGGCGGAAGCTCTTCGCCGCGCCGCCGCCGGCGCGCTACGACGACGCCGCCGTCGCGACGCCGCTCCAGGTCGGCGTCACGGAGCGCTGCGCGCGCCTCGACGCGCGGCGGGACCGCGGCGGCCCCTGGGCCGTCGCGCGCGTGTCCGCGGCGGGCCGGCGCTACTGCCTCGCGCGCGTCGACGCGCCCGAGGGCCTCGCCGCGGGCGCGCGGCGGCGGCCGCGGCGCGTGTCGCTCAAGGCGCCGCTCGTCATCCGCAACGCCCTGCCCGTGGCCGTCGACGTGCGCGTGCTCGCGCTCGCGCCGCCGGGCGACGGCGGCCGCGGGCTCAAGAGGAATTCCGACGACTTCGCGACGCCGCGGCCGCGCGACGCCGGGCGCGCGTCGTCGCGCACGCGCACGGCGAGCCGCGGCGGCCGGGAGCGCTGCGTCGTGCGGCGGGCGACGCTCGAGAGCGGGGGGCTGCTCGCCGTCGCCGAGGCCGACGTGACGGACTACGTGTGGCTCGCGACGCGCGCGGACCCGGCGTCGTCGTCGTGGTCCGTCGTCAAGCTCAACGCGCGGTCCTGGCGCCGGCGCGTGGCCGCCGCCAGGGCTCTCGGCCAGGCGCCGCCGGCGCGGCGGAAGGCCGCCGAGGAGGACGCGTCGTCGTTCGTCGTCGCGGTCGAGTCGGCCGAGGACGTCGCGGGCCCCGCGGACCCGCGCGCGGCGCCGCGCCGCCCGGCGGCGGACCCGGCCTTCTTCGGCGGCGGCGCCTTCGCGCTCGACGTGACGCTGGCGGCGCCCGCCGTCGTCGTGGACCGGTCGGGCCTCGCGCCCGGCTTCCTCGTCTTCGCGCGCAGCCGCGACGAGGCCGCGCGCGCCGCGCCCG